GGTCCTTCGCTGAAGCTCTCGATTAAATTTCGCTAGACTAATCAATCAAAGACATTTTTATGTAACTCAAACCTTTTGGGGCTTCTGAAGGGTCTCTAGAACCCAAAGCTATCCTAAGCCCTGAACCCCAAACCCGAATTAAACCCCAATTAAACCCTAAACCCTAAACCCGCCCTGAAGCTGCACCCCAAAACCCCTCCACCAAAGTCTCAGCAGGACCCAGGCCTGCCCAGAAGCCATGAGGCCCTGAACCGTTTGGACGTACTGCGCGTTCACCTTTGACGCAGGGCTTTGGGGCTTAGGGCTTGACGTTTAGAGTTGGGGTGCAGGGTTGATAGAGCAAGAGAGTTGTTGGGGTTGATAGCATTTATAGGTTGGGGCTTATAGAGTTTATGGTCTAGGTCACATTTAGTTCAGGGTCCAGAATCGGGCTCAGGCTTGCGCGATTAGGGTTCGCAGGCTTAGGGTTACGGATTGGGGGTTTGATCCAGTAGTGGGTCCGGTACTAGGCGGAGGTGAAGATGTAAGCCCCAAATGCTGCCCCAAGTCCCTTATCATCCCCAAGTGCGGGCCACACTTCAATCTTAAGATTGAAGTCCTGAACACCCTAGAAGTTGATGTAGGGTCTAAGTTCCAGGCTTCAGGGCTCCAAATGCATCTCTTTGAAGATTCAAGCCCTAAACCCTAAACCCCAAACCCCAACCCTAAACCCTAAACTTTAAACCCTAAACCCTGTCCTGCACAAGGACCCAAGCGCTACGTAGCACAGCCTTCGCGTCGCGAGGCTCTGGCAGAAAAAGCTGCTCACGTCTTCCCCGCTTTAGAACACTTGGGGGTTTCTAAATTAGGGGTACCCTTGTTGGGGTTTTTATTTTAAGGGAACCCTACGATTTGGCCCACTTCAGCCTGCATCATATGCCATTCGGCAACTTACACGTGCTGACAGTCATCACAACGATGTTCAGGACTGGAAGGGCACCACTGGAGGAAACTGAAACTACTGGAATGTTTGCACCCCAGACCTACAAAAAAAGATCATGTTGATAAACCAACCCTGAGGCCCTTTCAATCCTAAACCCTGAAAAACTGCCACGTGACTAAACCTCCGGCCCAAGCTAACCAGGACCGGCAAAGGCCCAGCAAGCTAGAGCTCAATAACTGTACAACTTAAGGCTCAGGGTTAGGATGTTCCCCCTTATACTCACAGTCCTTAATAGGGATTCAGGTTTGCAAGGTGTAGAATTTGTAAGTGAAGTTTAGGGTTTGTAAGGTTTAGGGTTTGTAAGGTTTATAAGGTTGAGCTTTTTTCGATTGAGGGTTTAGAAGGCTCGCGCCCGCCCCGATGTTGAGCTAAGTCTCGGGTTCTTCGGCCTCGAAGCGGCCCCAGATCTCCGCCAGCTGCCTCGGCAACAGAAGCTCTCAGCGGGCGCGGGCTGGGCTAAGAGGCCCTGAGCACTAAACCGAGCTCTAAGGAGGGTTTTGTGGGTTTCTGTCTGAGGGGTGTTGGTGCTTGGGAGTCAGAGTTTTAGGCCTTGTGGTTTGGAGGCCCTAAGCCTTGCACACTAAACCCTGAACCCTGGGCCTAAGGCCTAAGGCGCTAGGGGCAGAGTTGAGTGTGTCCGGGTTCGTTGAGGCGCTCCCCGTCGGCTTCTGAGTGAGACTTTCATGCGAACCCTCGGGATGCTGGGTCGCTTAAGGGACTAAAGGAGGGACCCTGATAAGGGACCTTTGGGGATTTTTAGGGGTTGTTAGGGGGCTACTTCGGTCTATTGGGACGATCTCAGGTATTTTTGGGGATTGTATCGGGGACTCCCTTAAGTTGCTCGTTTCCCAAAACCCGAGGGGCCCATGTACCTTGTTACTGTTATAATATACTTGGAACCGCAGAGTCCCTATGTAGGCAGGTGCTTTAAGGCCCACGTCTTCCCTATTTTAGGTACTTAGGGAACCCTAAACCTCCCTTAAACCCTGAAACCCTAGGCTTTATCATCGGGTCCTTATAAGGGAGTGGGGTTCATGCGGGGTAGGTACCTAGAAAGCCTTGGAGGGAGCCTTAGGGTGTTAGTGGGGGAGTATTAGGGAACCTACCCCCTTGAACCTCCCTCCCTTAAGAACATTTAGGGTTTAGGGTTTAGGGTTTAGGGTTTAGGGTTTAGGGTTTAGGGTATACGATTGTTCTGGGGACTCACGGAACGACTCCGACACAGCAACCGAAACAGCTCTTGGAGGAACTCAGCTGCCTCCCTTGGTTTACTGAGCTCCAGTGTAATGAGATGAAGCGAGCATTTTTAGGAGCTCGGTGTATGGTATTCCTGCTTTTTTCGCTTCTCATCTTGTTCAGACAGATACTTAGCAAACCAAGAATCCAGTACTGCCCCAACGACCCTGTTTTGTCAGGGCTTAAACAAGTGCAAAGAGCCACCTGTATGACACAATTTATTTAGCGACTTTGCTGGGCCAGAGGCGTGAAAGTGCGACTTGTTCTGTTCCCACCCCCTACAAGCCGACCACCCCCCCCCCCTTTTTAGGGTTTAGGGTGTTAGCACTTCAGATAGAAGCCTTCGCGGAAGCTTTTGAAGCTTTTAAACGCTGCAAGCTTCATTAGTGATGCGACCCGAAGTTCCTAGGCGTGATGTGTAAGCCTCACAGAAAAAACTCAAGCGTGACGCCTGCGAGAGCCTAAACCCTAAAGAAGACCCCCAACACCTACAAACCCTAAACCATAAACCCTAAACCCTCAACCCTAAATCCTAAACCCTAGACTCTAAACCCTATATAAACCTTAACCCTAAACCCTAAACTAAACCCTCAACCCTTGTCAGTGCACCTGGGCGTGATTGGAGTGCCCTGCGCAGCGTTGCGCAGGTACAGCTGCCAGCGTTGGAGCGCTGCCTGCGACCAACGTGTTTGGGGGGGTTTGGGGTTTAGGGGCTAGGGTTTGGGGTGTAGAGTTTAGGGTTTTGGGTTAGGGTTTAGGGTTTTGGGGTTTAGGAGTTTAGGGTTTCGGGTTTTGGGGTTTACGAGTTTAGTGTTTGGGGTTTAGGGTGTTGGGGTTTAGGAGCTTAGGGTTTAGGGTTTTGGGGTTTAGGGGTTAAGCGTTCAGGAGTTTGGGGGATTGATGATTTAGGAGCTTGGGGGTTTAGCGCATTTTAGGGCTTAGAGTTTTTAACTGGTTCGCGGTTTAAACAGATTAGAAATTTAGGGTTCAGGGTGTTTTAAGGCTTGGCGGGCTTGCAGGATTTAGTGCCTGAGGGATCTGAGGTGGGTTAAAGGGCATAGAGTTCAGGGTTCAGTGTCAACGACGAGTATGTTATGGGCACAAATGTTGATGGATTGGGGTTGCGCGTGGTTTCCCAAGACCCTAAAGCCCAAACCCTGAACCATAAACCCTAAACCCTGAACAGTAACCCTACACCCTAGACGACTTGGGTTCAGGGGAGTCGGGTTGGGGCTATCGCCTCTAGGGCTGGGATGGGCACGTAGTTTGGAGGGCTCCCCCCTTGTGAAGGGGAGGTTTGGGGAGCTCTGTGGATGAACTCTACACTTCCTACATTTTGGGACTCTATCTTTGACCTGCCAGTTCTATGGGACCTTCTTTTCCGTCACACCCATGTCAGCAAATGCGACTAAACGCTAGGTAAGCCCCTAAACCCTAAACCCTAAACCCTAAACCCTAAACCCTAAACACCAAAATCTAAACCAAGTCCTGTCCTTTAAGAAGGAAGTCCTAACCCAGAGCCTGGAGTTGGGGAGGCAGGTCCGACTCGGGACGTGGTCCTGGCATTTCTGGCATCTGGGATTAGGGTTTAGGGTTTAGGGTTTAGGGTTTAGGGGGTTAAGGTCTATGGTGGAGTGAAATTAGGGAGTAATTAGGGGCTAAGGCTTGTAGAGTTTATGGCATCGGCAGCAAACCCCTGGGCCATGAACAGGTCGGGACCTGGCAGGGCCCCACAATGTCGCATAGACCACTGCGTTGGGTCGGAACTTTTGAATTCCTTGTGTGCGATAAGCGAGCAAGTCTCCGTAGCCAAAAACAGTCGAAGCGGACGAGACCGTGACGGCCATAAACAGTAGAATCGGACGAGACCGTGACCGCCAAAAGCAGTAAAGCGGACGAGACCGTGACGGCCAAAGGTTTAGGGCTTCGTTTTGCAGGGCTTGTAGGGTCGGGGTGTATGGGACTTGTAGGGGTTGTAGGGCTGTTAGCGTGTAGGAGCTATGGCTTTTTCAGCTTCGGACAGAGGGTTTAGGGATCAGGGCATGGCTTGGGGGAGCTGCTAGGGTTTGGAGTTTATCACGGGTGGAGAGTTGGGGGGGGGGAGGGGGGGGGGGGGGGGGGGGGGGTGGGGTATAGATGCCCAAGGCAGGGTCAATTCAGTGTAGAAGCCTATTTGGTGGACGCCCTCACAACCCGGACTCATTCCAGAACAAAAAACAACACCAGTAAACCTTCCCAAAGCCCTAAACACGAAACCCCGAAGCCTAAACCCGAAGCCCCAAATAAGGTTTAGGGTTTATAAGCTTTGGGGTTTATAGGGTTTAGGGTTTACACCCTACATCCTCAACCCTAAGCCTCAAGCAGCAGACGCAGCGGCTGCAAGCCTTGGCCACTGGCCGCCCGTCGCTTAGCGATGATGCGATCGACGATCCACTTCCCAGCACCGATACCTCCGAAGCAGGGCGACCACACAAACCCTAAACCCTAAACCCGCCGGTCGGGGTATGCACTTTGGGGTTGGTGTACGGCTATGTGTACACAACAGACTCTTCATCACAACTCGCCTTTGCAGCCGAAGCCCTGGACATCTCATCACTGGTCTGCACTCTAACACCCCCCCCCCCCCCCCCCCCCCCCCCCAAGTTGAGAAACCCCGAAAACCCGAAACACCTTAGAACCCCAAAACCCAAAAACCCCAAACCCCACAAAACTCTAAAGCCCATAAAACCCTAAACCCTTCGGCCCGAAAAGGCTCCCAAGTCGGAATTGCCGGGGCTCGGGCCGACGGCCGTGCCTGCGCCGACCATGACGGCTGTACCCAGTGTGACCACACCTTAAGCTGAGGAAGTAGAAGGCATATTAAGTATTGTACTATTTAATACTTGCTAATTCTTACTAGTATTTTCTATTCCTTATTCTCCTTTACCAGTATCATATTTATTACATATGATCAGATTAGCATGTACTGGTATAGCTTTGTTACTCGATATCATCTATTTTGCTATTATGTACTACTTTTGTTTATATCACTTCTGGTTATATTATGCATTCCTGATGGTCGTTTGCTATCATTATAGAGTATCCAGTCTTGTGTTTATAACGGACTCTTAGAACGGCCTTCATGCTGTGCAAAGGCTAACCAAAAGGCAAGATCCAGTCCTTCTTACTGAGACACATTTATCGATGACAAACCCGAGCAACCAAAAGACGGACCCACTTTTGATCTTCCGGCTGCTTCCTGCCGATTAGAGCCCTGGAACGCCCCAAGAAAGAGGTGAGGGAAATGGGCCCAGAGGGCTTGGGGGGTTGTAGGGTTTAGGGGCTTCAGGGCCAGGTCTTTCCTCTCCGAGCCCAACACGCACCAATTACTTCCTTCTGTGACTTGACGGAAGCTCTGACCCTAGTATGCAATTTTCCCCACCACTGAGCCTTTGAACCTTGAACCTTGAACCTTGAACCTTGAACCTTGAACCTTGAAGCCCTAAACCCTTAAACCCTAAACCCTAAACCCTAAACCCTAAACCTCGACATCCGAAACTCCGACCGAAAGTCCATCCAGGTATCCAGCAGCGCAGCCAGTTCTTATGGCCCATTTCGGGGAACAGTACCCTAGATGCGAGGGCCCACATGGGGTTTACGATAGTCAGGGACCCTAACATAGACCCCCAAATTCTAGGATCCCCTTGTAACAAGGACCCCAATAAGGTACCCCCTAATATCGTAACCCCCCATTTACAATCGGTATCCCCAAACAAACCCTAATGCAGGGAGCATCCCAGGTTTTGTCTGGATTTGCTGGGCACTTGGAAGTTTCCTATGGGCTGTGGAGATTGGAAACCAACAGAGGAAATCGACAACTACACCCAACCCTCAAGCCTCAACCCTAAACCCTAAACCCCCCATTGGCATCTGGTTTACTTGTCCGGCCTGTAAGCACGCCCACCGCGCCACCAACTCCGATGGCGGGCAAGAGCTTGGTCACGCCAGGAGGGCCCTGTGCTGGCGGGCTTAAGGCGTTTTGAGGGGGCGGAGGGGATTTAGAGGGCTTTAGAGGGTCTTAGAGGGATTTAGGGGGCTGATGGGCTTGGGGGTTATGTTTTGGGGGGAGCAGTTCAAGGCAGCTGGGGTAAGAGTGTTAGGGCTTAGGCGAGAGTAAGCCATGAGATCGGCTGCTGATGGGTGCGGGTCCGAACTCCCGGGATTTTGGGATCCATGTATACCAGCAACAATGGAACCCTTCGTTGCTGTAACTACACTTCTATGGGGGGTGTCCGAAATTAGGGGTACCTTGTGGGGTACTTATTATAAGGGGATCCTGCTATTTGGGGGGTCTATCCTAGGGGTCTCTCATAACCCCCATATCTTTAGATCCCTAGCCGAAAAGCATCAGACACGGGTACATGCCGCTGGGGGTTCGGCCCTCCATCCCAAACGCAAACAGACCTCGAAGCCTCGACCTGGAATCAGCCATGTAGGAAAACATACCTCGATTTCTAGTTCCCATTTCCCTTAGGTTTGCCCCCTAAAAAGATATTATGTATACACATATATATGTGTATGTATGTATGTATGTATGTATGTATGTATGTATGTATGTATGTATGTATGTATGTATGTATGTATGTATGTATGTATGTATGTATGTAGTATGCATGCATGCATGCATGCATGCATGCATGCATGCATGCATGTATGTATGTATGTAGGTATGTCGGCGGTCTGCGCGGAGCCTCCGGATCACTGGGCCGGCGGTCGCGGGGATCCATGGCGAAGGGTGAAAGGGGCTCCGGATGTTGGTACTTTGGGGCGGATAGACTCGTTTGGGTGCTGGGTGTGGGGTTTAGGGATAGGGTTTAGGGCTGAAAGTTGAGGGTGTCTGGGGTCAGCTGTTGGGTATCTTTACCTTTGGTTAAGAGTAGGTAGGCTGCTCTGCTTGGGGTTGAGGGCTTAGGGTTTAGGGAGGGTTCAGGGGTAGGTTCGGGGATTAAAGGGCTCGCGGTGCTCTTGGGATTGAAGCAAAGACAAGGCCATACAGGCCATTGCTGTGACCTGGCTAGGTGAGGGAGTGGCAATGAGGCATGAGATCCCTTCCACCTAAACCCTAAACACCCTAAATCCAAAGTCAATGCCTATTGGTTCAGGGCTTATGGCAACTCCATCCAGCGATTCGGACTTTGGCTAGGGCTAGGGCGGGTTGGGAGACATACTTGGAGGTCCATGGGTAGTCAGTTTGAGCTGGGAGATTAGGTATGGCAGCACAAGCTATAAGTTGGTGCGACCTTCTTCCGGGATACTTGCAAGAAACACTTACCTAAACCCTACACGCTGAAGCCCCAGAGCTCTGCATGTCCTCCTCCAAGACCACCTGGCAAGCCACGCAGGCTGCCTGCAATTCAGCCCAACAGGGTTTGCAGGGGGGGGCTCAGGGTCTGGGCTATGCACCCCACCCCCTATCTCCAACCCCATGAGACTCTGGAAAACAACCCCGAACACACAACCTCGAACACCACACATCTCGGATGCTCGCTCCAAGAAAGAAAAGGAGGCCCAAGTGCCTGGTCCCTCAGTACAACCAGCGAAATTTAAAAACGATGCTAGCCCCAAGCCCTAACCCTCGCCAGTAAAACAAGTTAGTACACACAAATACATTACAAGGCCCACCTTAAAGGGTACGACCCGGAACATGCCATGGACCACTGGGGACGAAGGTACGAGTGGAGTGGCAAGATGCTTCTCAAGTGGACAACGCAGCCCAAAGAAGAACCACTTAAGAAAAACAGCTTCAAGGTGCTCTAAAGGTTTGATGGTTTAGGGCTTCATCTAGAAAACCGCTAAAATTGCATGATCACTGGCTGCAGGTTATAGCCATGTTTATAACCCTGTTTATGACCCCAAACCCCAAACCCAAAACCCTCAACCGCAAGCAACGAACACACAGGTAAGCCTTGGAAGGGAGACTCTCAACCCCGACGACGTAGAGTGGCACAAGATTCAATCAGGTTGGTCGTTGAAAACCTCTGGAGAATCCCAAAAGCCCTACAGCCTAAACTCTAAACCGTAAACCCGAAGTAAAACAATGTCTTGAAGCCACATTTTCAAGATCATACTCCCGGAGCCTTAATAGCTCGGGGAGACGTGAGAAGGTCCTATCTAGTCAAGTTCATAGCCGCCTGCAGGGTTCGAAAGGTGATAAACGCTGTCGATGGAAGATCCTCCGGGCGAAGGGGTGAGGGTGTGTGTTCAGGGTTTAGGGTTTAATTCAGGTTTAGGGAGTACGCTCATTGGGGTTTAGGGCCGGGGCACAATCCAGACTCCAAACCCTAAGCCCTTAGCCTTAACCCTGCGTCCTAAGCCCCGATCGCAATCCTGCCTCTAGCCGACAGAAGATCGCCATCCCCGCAAGCACCACCCCCCCCCCCTCCCCAAAAACAAACAAAATAATAAATATATAGAAACAAAATAACATACAATGTAAAACAAAACTTTGAACAAGTCCTACATATGCCCTCTGGTTTGGCAACTTGGCTCCGGGTTCAGGGTCTTGGTCTTGGTAGCCCAGGAATTACATTAAGATAAGGGCACCCATTTTTATTTGGGATTGGTTACTCTACAAGGGAACCTTCAACCCCCAACAAAGGAAAAGACTACCACCGGGCTACCAAAGGGGTTCAAGGCTTTTAGGCTTGGGGGAAATTCAGGTTTGAGAATTGAGGGGTCTGGGCGTTGAGGGATTTAGGGGTTGGGCTGTTGGAAAACCTCAAAGCTATCCTACGGCTTCGGGTGTGCATGGGCTCTCCACCAAAGAGCCTTGCTGTTGGCGTGCTGGCCTTCAAACAACCAGACCCTCAACCCAAAACCCTAAAACCCTAAACCCCTAAAACCGCCAAAACCCCAAACCCTAAAACCCTGAAGCCCTGAAGCCCTAAAACCCTAAACCCTCCAAAATCTGAAAGCCTAGACGGGCCCAAACTAAACCCTTGCCTTACGAAGTCTCCTGCCTCGGGCGCGTGCGAGGCGAGCGAGACCTGCCGGGCCTCGATGGGGAAAAGACCGCCGAAAGGCGTGCCTCGCAAGCGTGCACTAGGAGCCCGTTGAGGGTTTTTAGGGTTCAGGGCTTTGGTTTAGGGTTTGGGGTTTAGGGTTTGGGGTTTAGGGTTTGGGGCTTTGGGTTTAGGGTTTAGGAGTTTGACGTTTCGGCCTTAAGGTGTTTTGCTGTGGCGTCTTTTTATGGGCACAGCTCTGCTCAACACAGAACTACAATCTTGGGCTGGTATCAGCTGCGTGAACATATAGGGTTTTGGGGCGAATTGCGGGTAGGACTTGCTTGCTTGGGACTTAGAGTTTGTTCTCTAAGCCGAGAAAGTATAGCTATAACTTTTCACAGCTATGATTGAAGTAATTAGTACCCTACTGATACCTGCACATGAACTGGCCATGAACCACACAAAAAGTAAGCCCTCGACTCAAAACCCTGACGCCTGTGAACTGTCACAAAGGGTTCCCAAGGAACCCTACGCCGCAAAAGCCCGAACAATGCTTGGGTCAGGGTCTAGGCCGGGTTTGTGGTTTCGGGCGGTTGGGCGGTTGGGTGTAGGGGCCCGGGAAATGGGGTTTGAACCCCAAGCCTCAGCACTCCCGACACCTGTCATCAATCTACGTACAACAAGCACGGACCCAAGCTTGAAGCCTCTGCCCTCCAGCCCTGAACACCCCTGCCGAACCCTGAACTCTACCAACCCCACACGCAGAATCCTAAACGATAAGCCCTAAACTACCCTAAACCCCAAACCCTAATCCCTTTACCCTGAATCCTCTCTCGGCGCCCAGGCCCATGGGTTCCATCGGCGTCTCCAAGGCGGAGGAGGGAACGAGCTCTGTTACGTGCCGCACCGAAGTGCCTCAGTGTCAGAGGGGGCTGAAGATTTAGGGTTTAGGGTTTAGGGTTCAGGGGGCTTAGGGTTTAGGGGTTGTTTTGCTAACGTTTGAGGGTTGAGGGCTTACAGCCACACCTTGCACCTTCAGAGGCGAGGGTCCTCTACAGAGATACTATTGCTGAAAAAGACCCCCCTAAACCTCACATACGGCCAAACCTGCAGCAACCACACGCTCACACCTCCAGCTCACCAAATCTGATCCAACTGTCGCCAACTTTTCTTGGATTAGCTCTATTTCCCGAAATCTAGGTGCACACATCCCTAAATCTAAGGCATGTTTACACTTGTTTAAGCATCCATAGCAAGGGCGCACATGTTATTCTGCTTTTCGGAGCTATGTTCGCCCTTTTGGTAAGGCTCAGGGGGCACAGACAAATTGCTTTGCTGTGGCCAGGAATCCAGGTTCAGCCGGATTACATGATGTGTGCCAGCATATGGTCGCATTGCGCAGACTGATCTGCTTAGATGACAGTAACCATGAAATTACGGTAGGGGCCAAGCACTCAAAACACCCCCAAAAAACCCGAATCTTCCTGAACCCTGTAGACCCTATTCCCTCAGCCACAAACCCTGTTAAGCCTATGCCCTAAACCCTACACCCTAAACCCCAGGTGAGCGCCTGCCACTTCTTTCAGGACTGCGCCCACCGTCCGGAGACCGGTGCACAGGGCTCTGCAACCGGTCGAGCAGCTGAGCCTTAACATGCGCAGGGGCTATCGGGCTTATAGGGGTTATGTAGGGCTTCTAGGGGTTATATCAAGGGGCTTTAGGAGTGTTAAGGATTTAAGGGTTTATAGGGCTTGTAGGGGCTATATAGGGGTTATGTAGGTTATATAGGGCTTATCTAGGGCTTACAGGGGTTTTAGGGGCTATTGGGCTTAGAGCTCATGGGGCTTGTAGGGGTTCTAGGAGTGTTAAGGATTTACAGGGTTTATCGTGTTTTTCGGATATAGAGGTTTTGAGGTTGTTAGGATTTGGAGGGTTTGTAGGGTCTTTAGGGCGTATGGGGGTTGTAGGGTTTCTTGGGCTTTTTGAGATTTAGAGGGTTTATGGGGTCTTTAGGGTTATAGGGTTCTGGAGGCGTCTGATCCCCCTGCGGTGAGACTTGTAGCTTGTGTTTCCGGGTATGGATGAGCACCCGGAGAACCCAACACCCGTAACTCCATCTAAACCCTAAACCCTAAGCCCTAAACCCGACTCTTAACCCTAAACTGGATACTCCCTCAGCCCTGAATGCCAAGCCCCTGGCCTATAGAGTAGCCGTACTGAACAAAAGGAAACTGCTGTAGCTAGTTGCTAGGTATGGTTTAGGGCTTAGGACTTAGGGGTCAGGGTTTAGGATTTCGGGGCTTAAGGTTGAGGCTTCAGGGCCTTTACGGTTTTAGGTTTTGTTTTTTGAAGTCAGGGCCCCTTTCGGAAAATCCCTACAAATGGTTCCTGCAAGTAAAGGTGCTCGTGAGGCACCCTCAGCATTGAATCCTAAACCGTCCTATGCTTGGATGGCCCTTAACACCCTCTGAAAAATATTCCTAAATATGATCCTCTTAAACCCAATAAGAAGGGAAAGAAAAAACATCCCTAAACCCTAAACCCTAAACTCCAATAGTATAGAGCAAGCCTCATCTGGGCCCCCAGGCCATGCCGCTGAGACCCAACCTGCACAGTCGGAAGCGCTCCGCAGCGAAGAGGAGCTGGTGCCTGGTCACACCATTAGGCGTAAGATGTGGTAGTTGGAACACGGGTCCTAGATTGCCGCGAAGTTTTCGGCATTTTCGGTAATCTGTGGCCTGTTTCCGGCTTTGAGGGGGGGGGGGAAAAGAACGTCATTCATA